GTATTCATATAGCAAAATATTAAAGACCTTTGGATACATGCCATGAACCTAATTGTATAAACTCTAAGACAATATCCAAACTCATAGTTAAGTAGTTTCCATCTGAGTCAGTGGAATTATTAGGGTTGGTTTTACCCAATGTGATAATACATGATGCTGCCCCCATGGATGGGGTCCAGCCAATGAACCTCTCCAATGGGTGGAGTGGCTTGGCCCTGCCTTGTGCCTATTTAGGGCTGAGTGCCAATCATAGTCATATTTCTTCTAGCATCACCCAGATCTCCACAGCTCCTACTCTCCTAATGTTCAAGGTGGAGAGCACACTGGCTGGGGAGTGTTGACAGGATTAAGGGAAGTGATGAGTTACTACACTAGTCAATGGGTGGCACTAACCCTAGTAACAACACTGCCTTGGTGTCCACTCCATTGGCTGCAGACTCTGGGGTTGTTTTCATGGCACCTTCTCTGAGAAGTGTCATTGGGTACAGTCTGCATTCCACACAATCCCACAGTGATGGTAAAAAAAAAAAAAAAAGGCACAAAAATGAAGGCACACATTGAATTTTTTTCTCCTTTATTTAAAAAAAATTTGTTACTCTATATATGTTTCTTCATGATTCATGATTCTATACCTAATAACAGAACATTATATATATAATTAAATTCTTGGCTATGTTCCCTTTCTTATATGGCCACTCTTACTCTGAACACTAAAGAAGAAAAATAAATAAATAAGTATGCAAATAAACAAACAGAAAGATGGTATAGAAGAGGATAGGGAATCTCCAGCAGAAAATTTTAAGAGCAACTACTATTTTATTCTTCTAGCTGTTGTTGCTAAGTGCGGTTGTGTTATTCCCACTCATAGTGACCATGCACAGGGTTTCCATGGAGTGGTTGGTAGATTTGAGCTGCCAACCTTATAGTTTTATATATGTCTGAAGCAGGATCTTTCTTAATTCTATTTCTTTTTCACAACCCACCTTTTATTTTTTAAATCTCTTTTGAAAAAACAAACAGATAACTTA